ACCCAGTTATCCACGATACATAGGTTCTCCAAAGGGAGCACAGAACCCAAGGTTAAAATGTCTTCCTTGGCATGAATGCCCAGTACCCAAAATAGTGCTTGGTGAAGAATCGTCAATGGATGTCAGTGGTAGAGGCCAAAGCATGAGCAGAAACAGGATATTACATAGGTATAAAGACTCTCCCCACAGGAGGCTTACTGACTCCAAAAGGGGTGTCCAGAATGTCACAGACTGGAGGCTAGGAAGTCCAAGGCTGAGGTTCTAGCATCTGGTAATGGTCTTGTTGTGTTGTGACATGGGGTAGGAGGCACAGATGAGAGGGAAACAGCATGCAAACTCAGGTCTCTTTCCCTCCTCTTACAAAGCCACTAATATCACCATGGGGGCCCACCACCATGACCCCATCTAACTAGCTCCCAAAGGCCTCATCTCCAAATACCATTAACACATGAATCTGGGGGTTAAATTTCTAATACGTGATCTTTGAGGGAACTATTCAGACAACAGCAGGGGGAAATAGCAACTTTACAGTGGATAAATCCAGAAGACACCACCTTATCCAAGGGACCAAGGTGAGCAAAGTACAGAAAAGGGACAGGTCAAGGTCACGCGCCTCCTGATAGGACACACTGAGGAGGCAACTGCATGGCTTCTGTAGTGTTCTTGCCAAAAATATGTCACCCAAATTTAATCATTAAAAAACACCAAAAATCCCAGGTCGGAGAACATTCTTCAAACTTACTAACCAGTGACTTCTCAAATGTGCAGGATCATGAAAGAGGAAGACTGACCTATTCCAGTTTGGAGGAAACTAAACAGAACTAAATGTGGTGTGGACTCCAGATTGACCCAAGAACCTAACAACCAACAGGCAAAATTCTAATAAACTCTGAGGATCAGTGAACAGTACCATACCAATGTTAACTTCCTGGTTTTGACAACTGCACTATGCTTACAGATCATGTAGATAATATTGAAGGAGGCTGGGAAAAGAATAGATGGAAACTCTATGTACTATTAATGAAACTTTTTTTTTGTATGTCTGAAATTATTTTAAAATGAAAGTTAAACATTAAAAATAAGTAATCAAGTAGTGCCTGGCACTCATTGTAGGCTCTCAATAAATATTTGTCTAACTAATAAAAGAATCCCAGTTTTCCACCACTGATTGCACTTGAACCCAGCCAAGCCCCGCCTCTTTTCCACCTTCCTGCACCCAGCACTCTACCTGGTCCCACCTAGGTGAGGTGGAAATGCTATCAAGGAAAACTGATGTATTAGTTCTACATAGAACATCTGGATGGAGCCGTTCAATCAAAGTAATTGTGAGAAACAGAAAAAGAAATGGGAGTTGGGGTGTAGCTCAAGAGCAGAGTGCATGTTTAATATGCGTGAGGCCCTGGGCTCAATCCCCAGCACCAAAGAAAACAAACAATCAACCAAAGCTACGTGGCAACTCTTTAAATACACTACAGCAAAAGTAAGTGAATGACTGAACAAAGCAGAGCTTCCTAATAGACATTTCAAAAAATGCCCTCTCCAAATGGAACACAACCCAATTAAGGGAGTCAGAGTCTCTGCAAGTGTCCTGCATTTTAGAACAATGTAGTATGGATTTAATTTAATGAAATAAAGACTCAAAAACAAGATGAAATAACAGAATGAGATGAAAAGGGAGGTTGTAGAACTAAGGAAACAAATTAAAAACCACAATGCTATGATTACAGATCTAATAAGTAAATTGGAAAGAAAAATAAACTAATCACGGCTAAAAACCAAATTAACTCATGGAGGAAATGTAGAAGATAAAGAGATTCAAATAATTAGAAAGGATGTGATGGACACATAAAAGTCAGAGTCTAAGTTAATTTGTGCTCTTCACATACACATATCAATAGAAACAACATAAAATTATGGATATAATATAGGAAAAAACTCTCTAATTTGAATAAAAGTTCAATGTGAATTTTAACGGGTAGAGTATATTCTAGGAAAAACTGTTTTAGTATCATTGATAGGGATGTAACTTGTTTAAGATTCTGAGCTTCAAAGATTTAAAGAAAAACAAAAAAGAATTTTTCAGACATATTAGTAGAAGGAAAAACTAAAGGCAGGTCACTTTTAAAGGAGGAGAAAAATAAAATCAAGATAATCTCAGACTCCCCCAGACTAGTATTCAATGCCAGAGGACAAAGGGTTCATCTAAAAATGTGGGGGGTGGGGGCTGGGGATGTGGCTCAAGCGGTAGCACGTTCGCCTGGCATGCGTGCGGCCCAGGTTCGATCCTTAGCACCACATACAAAGATGTTGTGTTTGCCGAAAACCAAAAAATCGATATTAAAAAATAAAAATAAAAATGTGGGAGGGGAAAAGTGAGATCTGAGAATATTATACCCAGCCAAACTGACATAAAATTCAATGGGTAGACACTCGCAAACATGAAATAATTACTTGTAGCCTTTAGTTACCATGGGCCCTTCCTTTAAAAGAAAAAAAAGTGTTGGTGATGAAATCTAGCCAAGAGACAAATGGAAATACAGACCCCTAGAAGGGAGAAACCACATAGAGAAATAGATGGTGGGTATCAAATCCACTTAAACAGACTACTAGGACTAAAGGGAAAATAATACAAGAAGAAAAAATTGGGGGCTGAGGGAGAAGAGAAGTCCCACATACGCTGGACACCCCCTCCTGGAGTAAGCAATGATCACTCTGCTTTGTCTTTGTACTTTACTATCTCCATCTCTAGCCAGGACTAAGGCATTTGTTAGTTTGACCTGTTTTTTCAAAAAATATTTTTAGTTATAGGTGGACACAATACCTTTATTTTATTTATTTATTTGTATGTGGTGCTGAAGATTGAACCCAGTACCTCACATGTGCTAGGCAAGTGCTCCACCACTGAGCCACAGCCCCAGCCCAGTTTGGCCTGTTTTTACCATTTCTGTGAAAGGAATCCTATTGTGTCTGATTTGCTTTTTTTTTTTCCCACTCAAAATTATGGTTTTCTTGATACCAGTGGTGTTTGGGATTGTGTCAGTCTGTCCAGACTGCTATAACAAAAAAACCGCACCCTGTGCGTCACACAACATTCACTTCTCCAGTTCTGGAGGTGGGAGGTCCAATATCAAGGTGTCGGTGAGGACCTGCATCCTGGTTCATGGATGGCTATCTCTTCACTCAGTCCTCACATGGCACAGCAGGGAGGGAACTCTCTGGGTCCCTTTGGTCAGGGCAATAATCCCATTCAGGAAGGCTCCCCTCTATGACCTCATCAACCCCAGAGTCCCTACCTCCTAACACCTTCACATTGACAGTTAAAATTTCAATACACGAAAAAAAAAATTGTCAACTATGAATTTGGGGGAACACAGCATTCAGACCACAGCACGAATCCACATCTTTCAGAGTTCTACAAAGAGCAGTTGGAAAGCCCACTTCCATGATGCGGCAGTCATTGCTGAAAATCCCACTTCCCCCAGGCCTGAGGCTGGAGAGGAAGCAGGGCTCCCAACGCCATCCTCATGCCTGCAGGTCTGCAGGGGCCTCCACAGGGTAGGTGGGTCAGGGCCCAGCTGTCACCACCCTGCAGAAGATCATCTCGTAGCTGCTGTGGGCAGGGGAATTTCACAGACCTACGTGAAAACATGGGTTGGCCTTGGGAACGTAACGGATTGACACCTGCACAGTCTTCACAGCGACCACTGTCAGTGGCAGAGCATTGCCTAGCACAAAGGAGGCCCTGGGTCCCATCCCCAGTACCACACCAACACACACACCCCACAACACACCAGGATCTCTCCAAAACAAGATTCTGGAAGATACCAGTCTCTACGTCTCTAAGTCTTTGCTAGAAATGCAGAATCTCCTGCCCCACCCAAGACCAAATTGAAAAAAAAAAAATTATACACACATATACAGTACTAGAGACTGAACCCCAGGGTGCTCTACCCAGGAGATACATCTCCAGCCTTCTTATATATTTCACTTTGAGTCAAGGTCTTGCTAAGTGACCTAGACTATCCTTAGACTTGCGATGCTCCTGCTTTAGCCTCAGGAGTGGCTAGGCCTGCCACACTTCACTGGCAGAACTTTGCATTTTAATAAGATTCCTAGATGACTTGTGTGCACACTCAAGGTTGGGGAACACAGGCCTTCATGCTTCACTGTGTGTGTTAGTTTTACTGAAGTCCAACACAGACACAGAAAAATGTTGTCAGAAGGGTATCATCTGGTGAATTATACCAAGGGAATCCACAGGGATATCCAGCCCCCAGATTGAGAACAGAATAGAGATCCAACACCTTACAAAAAACCCCCTTTCTTGTATAAGCATTCTGGCACCAAAGGTAACCGATATCCCAGCCTCTAACAGCATAAGTTAATTGGGTCCTCGTTTCCTCACATAGTTGGAATCATGGTGCAAGGATTCTTTTGTGTTTGTGACATTCTAAATCCCTCATTTGGAACCCCAACTTCCCCCTGTGTACTTAAACACAGTGTGTCTGATCTCTCTCCACTTTCCTGTATCTTCCTTCTCCAGAAAGCTAATGCGAAAGAAAGCCCACTTATTCAGATAAATATTTAATGAGCACCTAGACTGTGCCAGGATTGTTAGGGGCTGAATCTATGACAGTATTGCCAACCTGGGAGTTGTGTTTCAGGGAGGCATCCTGCCCGTAGTTTTCAGGGCTGTGGAAGATTCACATTGGCATGTGAGTTCAACCTTTGAGAGGAATTTATTACCTGCCCTAAAAATACCCCAAACTGTAGTTTATGCAGCCAGCAAGGAGCAGCAAGACCTCCACTTAGGTCTTTTGAACACATCATAAAGTCTGAGTCCAAGAAGTTTCTGGCTCAATTATTTCTGCTTTTCTTTAAACGATATTTGGCTTAACGTTTAAAATTGAGGTTCTCCCAGCCAATGGTTCTGACTGTCGCCAAAGGCCCTTGCCACTTGTTTCTCTCAAGGTTTCCAGAAATAAATTATGCATGTTTACCTGGCACCGGGTTTCACGTGGATGCCGGGCACTGCGATCGTCACTGCTGTGAGATCAGTGGTCAGTCCCCTTCTTTCTGGGCCTCATTTTTCTGATTTCTAACTAGAAGGAAATAAACTGCATCAGAGAATTTTATCCTGGAATCCAAGATCCACCAAGGACCCCGTACATCCCCGGAAATTATATGGAAGATTATATGTTTGTTTTTGAGGGAAAAGGAGTCCAGAGTATCACGATGCCCTCAAATGGAACATCATCATGTTCGAAGATCCCAAGAACATTTTCAGCACTAATATTCTGCATCGTATGGTTACTGGAGACCTTCATTTTTGGCTGAATGTGGCTCCAGCTGAACTTTAAAAAGAAAAGATGATTTGCCTCATGCATTCCTCTCTCCTATCAGAAAGAATACGGTGAAACTGTTGTGCCTCGTACTAGCCTCTCACTCTTACTCTGTGGGTAAGGGTCGTTTCATCTAAATAGCGTGGCCTGGATCAAGTCCCTCAATTTCAGTGACCTCAACGTGAGTCCTGTTATATTTGTCTGGCCTGTTTCCTAAATGCTGTAGCTATTGTAACCCTCCAAACTTGTTTGCAAGTCTGGGTCTCATAACCAAGTGGATGGAGACATGCCAATATGTTCTGATCCATCCAACAGTCCAATATCCTCTACCTGGAGAAATGACCCTGGATAGTGAAATGCATCATATTTGTCAAATGGGATGTGGGTGCTCACCTGTCACCTGAGAAAAAATAGTGAGCAGGGTCCTTCCTACCTCTCTGAAGCCAGGGCTCATCATTCCCACACAATAATATTAGGTTACACATTCCTTCTGTGTGGCTGGTTCCCCTTGGCAGTGCCCTAGCAACAACTTGAGCCAAAAGTTTTCATTACAAACTGCTTGGTTAGTATAAAGGAACCAGGTTATATTCCTCCAGAGAGCGAGGCATGTGGGACTCGAGAACATTCTTCATCACACTGGGTTCACCACAGATGAAAGAGGTGGTTTCAGAACTCATCCTCTTTCTAAATGGAAACTTCTTTGTTTTTAGTCATTAAGAAATAGAGCTCTGGGGCTGGGGATACAGCTCAGTTGGTAGAGTACTTGCTTTGCATGCACAAGGCCCTGGGTTCCATCCCCAGCACCAACACACACATAGAAAAAAAAAGAAATAGAGTTCTGGGATCAAACCTTACTACTCTAAGAGTGGTCTCCAGACCAGCAGCAATTGGGGCTTGTTAGAAATCCAAACTTCTCAGCGCCACTGCAGACCTACTGGACCAGAGTCTGCATTTTAATATTTGAAATCTCCCGGCAATTCCTGATTGGGGGCACTGAGAAGTTTGAGAAGTACTCCCGCAGCAGCACCCCATCCTCACCAGCAGCCAGTGCCTGAACGTTTGTGACTGTCCAGCAATATTGATTAATAAACATGAGCCTTTTGCCTATAAACCTGTACGACAAGCCTGAAGCACCTGCAACCCCCCTTCCGGTCTTCTCCACGGTCACAGGCTGCCTCCTATATTTACCTGTTTGATCACCTTCACACATGACTCACTTAACTTTGATTACAGTCATAAGGACGTTCTGGTCCATAGTGACCAAACAGAGGAATGGTGGGCCCAGGAGCTCCTCCTGCCTAGAGATGTCCCAGGCATCTTAGTTTGTGTAAAATGCTGTTTGCACAATGACAAAATCACCTAAGGACACGCTTTTCAGACCTTGTCCTGCCATCAAGCAACACGTGACTCCACTTTCACAAAGGAAGTTTGTGTCTCGCGAGTGCGCTTTGGCAGCACATTTACTAAAACTGGAATGACACAGAGAAGATTAGCATGGTCCCCGTGCGGGGATGACACGCAGATTCGTGAAGTGTTCCATATTTGGGGAAGTACCGGGGACTGAATTAGAACAAATTATATTCTATGCTTTTATAATTTTGTCAAAATGAATCCTAATGTTATGTATAACTAAAAGAAATTTTATATATATATATATATATTCACATAAAATAAATACCAAAAAAAGCTTGTGTTTTGGGTTTTATGTGCTTGTTCTATTTTTTCTAATCACATTAAAATAGAGTCATGGCTGTTAACATCTTGCTAGGTGTCATTTGTGATCCCTTCAGGCCCTCCTTGTGGTGGATACCCACAGAAGACAAGCAAATGTTCATTTGAGCCTCCAAGATAGGTAGGTTTCCAAACCCCTCTCTGGAGTGGCATCTATGACCATCTGAGCGGCTGGGCTCAGAGCATGACCTCAAATAAGCAAGGAGCCCTCACCCAGGTGTTGCCTAACAGAAGGAGCCAGTGAATGTCTGATCCCTGGAAGTTTCCATCACTACTTCCCTTTGCTTAGGTCTACCCTGAATACTTAGTTAATTTGTAAAAATTTTTCTCCTCTCTATCCTTCAAGAAAAGGAAGCTGCAAAACAAGCCCCACATTTCACACAGTGAGCATATAATGAGTTACTCTGTAGAAGAAACACGGAGAGACCAAAAATTCCAAGAGAAAACAGAAAATAGTCCAGGGCTTAGAAACAAACACTGGATGAGATGGTAACAGTTATTGAAATGTGTGCATTCCCAGCATTTTCCAGGACTTGTCCCAGGTCTGAAGGCGGCAGTATCTTTCCATCTCACCAGGAACACAGCACACAAGGACACACTCAAATCGATCACTGCAGGAGCTAAAAGAACAACTTTGATTGTCGAAGAGATCAGACTCTGATGAGATGGGAAAACCTTTTTTTAACAAATAGATTTTTTTTTTTTAAATCCGCCTGCCTCTATTGTGGGTTGGGGGCAGATCTGGCTGGATGTCCCTTTTAACCCATTTATAAATGCTCCAAGGACCATCTTTTCTAGTAGTACAATTAATTCTGTTGCATTCAAGATCACTTATGGATCATCACTGGTCTTCTGCTTTCCTTTTTCTGTGCTTTCAAGAAAAAGGGTCCTCTCCCCACAACTCTTGGTAAACGGTCCTTCTGCAAACTGTACATGGCAGGTTCAATACGACATGGGAGGAGGGAGAGCGCACACTGTGAGGCTGCTCCATAGGGTGCTTCCTGTAACACCGCAAGAACCAACGCCAGCTAAAAGAATCAACCTGTAATCCACCTGGGGTGGAAAGCAGGGCAGGGGACACGGGCATACTAAGGGGCTAGAACAGCACCCAGCCACTGGAATCCTCTCCAAATGCTACCCTCGGCCTTGTTTAGACTCTGCTGTTCTTTTTGTTTTCTTTCTTTCTTTCCTTCCTTCCTTCCTTCCTTCTTTCTTTCTTTCTTTCTCGTACTAGGGATTGAACTCAGGGGCACTCGATCATTGACCCACATCCCAGCCTTATTTTCTATTTTATTTAGAGACAGGGTCTCATTGAGTTGCTTAGCACCTCGCTTTTGCTGATGCTGGCTTTGAACCTGCAATTCTCCTGTGTCCGCCTCCCCAGCCTCTGAGATTAGAGGCAGGAGCCACTGTGCCTGGCTTGCTGTTCTCTTAACCTCCACTTCTACATAAGGACCAGTGGTGACCAAGGATCACTATTTCATCTAGTGCCCATAAATCTTTCCAAGCTCTGGTCAGGAACCCACAGTGGTTCAAATCTAGACCAGCATTCAAGGTCTGTCTGGCCAGTCCCAATCCCCATCCTCCACTCCCTCCACCTGGGTCTCACCAGCCTCCTCCCTGTCCTCTGCAAAGCCTGCTCACATCTTTTCCACCTTCCTGAGAGCAATGAGGTGAAAGCGAATGGACTGAAAATTACTCCATTGGATTGGAGCTAAAACACAGGTTGGAGGTAAGTATGGAGCAGGTACAGGTGAGTGAGCTCACAGTCTAGTGCTTTGCCTCTAACTTCTGCTTCCTCCTGTATCCACTGAAGATCAATCAAGGGTAAATGCCCCACGCAGTTAGTAGAATATTCATGAAATTCTTCAAGTGATCATCTGAAAATACATTGCAATTATCAGACATCTGGTTTACTAGGATAATTGTGTGTGGGGGGGAGTGAGTACCATTTAATAAAGAAGTCAGATTTTATTGCTTTTGGTCAAAGGCCAGAGTAAGATTGAAGAGCAAAGAATTGCACAATGTAATCTTAAATTGGAGTCAGAGTAAATAACATTTCAGGGAACATTTCAAAGAAGAAATTATTTCTGGGTCAATTTAACTGTAGAGTCTAAAATAACTTCAGCAGCCCACTCCAAAGATAAATTCTAAGAGTATGGTGAAGTCTGCATCAAAGAGTAAGAAACTCACCTTTTCTGAAACAAGTCTTCAGTGAATCCGCATTAGAAGTATGCCTCCAGGGCTGGGGATGTGGCTCAAGCGGTAGCGTGCTTGCCTGGCATGCGTGCGGCCCGGGTTCGATCCTCAGCACCACATACAAACAAAGAAGTTGTGTCCGCCAAAAACTAAAAAATAAATATTAAAATTAAAAAAAAAAAAGAAGTATGCCTCCAAACTCCCTGGTGCTAAGAGTTGTTGGGCTGGAAGAGTCTGGAAGTGTCACTCATCAGTCAAGGCTGCAATCTGGGAATGGACTCAGAAAAGCGTGTCTCTGTTTGGGAAAGATAAAGGTGGCTGGTGAATGATGTGTTCCAGTGGCTACAAGTGCTGTGTCCCCACAGCCTGCCTGCCGGACAGCGGAAGGTTCTGCTATTCCGATTAACAGTGCTAAGAAACTGTCTCTGGGTCTGTTTATTCTGCTGAGATCTTTTGTGGGTTGAATTATGTCCCCTCAAAAAGACATATTGACATCCTAACCAGCACTACCTAAAAATGCAAACTTATTAGGAAATATAGGGTCTTTGCAGATATAATCAAGTTAAGACAAGGTCATACTCAGGGAACTTCTAATCCAATATGACTGGGGACCTTATAAGAAGAGGAAATAGACACAGACACACAGAGGGAAAACAAGAGGAAGGAGAGGGCACCAGTGGTGGCAGACGAGAGAGGAGGGGCGCCTACAAACCAAGCACTGCCCAGGGCCTTGGCAAAGCCAGGAGCTGGGAGGAGCGGGAAGGATCCTCCCCAGAGCTTCCAGGGAGAGGCCAGCCCGATCTCAGGCATCCATCTTCCAGAACCATGTGAGAATCTATTTCTGTTGTTTGAAGGCCCCCAGTTTCTAGTACCTTATCATGTAGCCCTAGCAAAGTAATACCTTCACAAAGAGCTTTGGCTTCTCCTTCAGGCAAGTCACCGATCCTCGAGATCCACGTGCCGAGGGACAGTGTACAACCCAGCGCCCCTGAGCTCCCCAAGCAAATGCAGACGGGTGCTGTGGCGAGTGAACTACAGATGCAGTAGCTTGCTTGCATGCTCTCTCAGAACTCTTTTTATGGAAAAATTTTAATGCACACAAATATGGGGGGTGGGGGCAATGAATGGCACGTGCCCACCTGTCGGCTTCAACCATGACCAACGTTTTCCTCTTCTGGCTTTGTCTCTCTCCAACCTGTGTTTATTTTGCATGGGGGATGTGTGCAGGATTTTGAAGCAAACTCAGCCCAACTTGCCCGGTCATCCACAAAGCTTTAGTTTAAACTACTTAAGAGACATTTTTCTGTTCATCTGTTCATCTGGGAATGAGAGTTGTGTATTTTATTAGTCATGTAAAAAAATAGTATTTCTCTTTTATTGTTCAGTGTTGGGATTTTTCTGGTTTCAATTTTTAGATTTTGTGGTTTTTAACATGTTCACGGTTATGTAATCACCATGATCTAATTCTAAAATGTTTTCATCATTCCAAGAAGAAACCCTCTACTCATCAGCAGCCCTTTCCAAATTCTCTTCCCTCCAGCCCCAATCATTGATCTACCTTCTATCTCTATGCATTTTCCTATCTTCAACATTTCATATTAATGGGATCATACAATATGCAGTCTTTAGTGACTAGCTCTTTTTGCTGGGCATAATATTAACAAGATATGCCTATGTTATAGTGTATATCATATTCATTCTTTTTCATGGGTAATAATATTCCCTTACATGAATATACCACTTTTTGTTTATCCAGTTATCAATTGACGGAAATTGGTTGTTTCCACCTTTTAATTATTATAATTAATATTGCAATGAACACTCATATACAAGTTTTGTGTAGACATGTATTTTCATTTTTCTTTTGTATACTACTAAGAACAGATTTTCTGGAACACAGACTAACTATATTTAACATTTTAAGGAATCATTAAACTATTTTACAAAGTGGCTACACCACTTTATAATCCCACCAGCAATGTATGAGTAGTTTTAGCCAGCTCTTTGATACTATGACAATTTTTTTTTTTTTTCAGTTACCAAGGATTGAACATCAAGCAACATCCCCAGCCCTTTTTTGTTTTTATTTTATTGGAGTTGACTGTGTGAGACTCACTAACCCAGGCTGGCCTTGAACTTGTAATTCTCCTGCCTCAGCCTCCCAAGTCATTGGGAGGTACCTACCACTGTACCCAGTTCATTGTGAAAAAGTGCTGGAAAAAATAATAATAATAACCAACTTGGAGGAAAAAAGGTATTTTGCTCATGGTTTCAGGCTGTGGTCAGCTGGCTCCAAGGCACAAACATCAGGATGGAAGTTTCGATTGAGAAAAGTTGCTCACCTCCTGGCAGCCAGCAAGCAGAGAACGGAAGGGGCTAGGGACAAGATATAGTCCCCAAGGTCATGACCCTAAGTTTTAGACCTGCTCCCTTCAACTAGGTACCACCTTCTACCATTTCCACGGCCTCCCAATAGTCCATTCAGCTATGACTCCGTCAGTGGATTAATCTATTGATGAGATTATAGTCCTCAAGATCCAATCTCTTTCCAAAAGGTCCATGTCTGAACATTGCTTGAAAGGGCACCAAGACTTCAACACATGAGCCTTTGGAGGATATTCCAGATCCAAATGATAACATAGTCCAAATTCTCCATAAATCCACCACTTATTATTCTCCATCTTTTTTATTATGGCCATCCTAGTGGAAGTGAAATGATATCTCATTGCAATTTTGGTTTTCATTTCCCTAATGACTAACTATATTCACCTTAGGAAAAATGTTCCCATCCCTGGTTTTTAATTGTTGAGTTGTAAGAGCTCTTTATATATTCTGGATACAAGTCCCTTATCTGGTATGATTTGCAAAGATATCCTCCTATCTGTGAGCTGTCTTTACTTTCTGGATAGTGTCCTTTGAAACACAGAAGTTTTCAACTTGATAAAATCTGATTTAGCTATTCTTTCTTCTGTTGTTTGTATTTTTGCTGTGCATCTAAGAAGTCATTGCTTAACTCAACATTACAAAGGCTTAGTCCCATGTTTTTCCTAGGATTTTTTAGTGTTAGTTCTTATAGTTAGGTGTATGATCCATTTTCAGTCACACACACACACACACACACAGTAATAAGTTAGGGGTCCAAAACTATTATTTTGTATGTACATATAGACATTACATTTAAGTCACTTTCTTATTAACTTGTTCTATGATATTATACCTGTTTCCCATAAATCATCTTTTAGATAACTACAAACATGAGTGGTAAGAAAAGAAAACCCCAATGAAGAAAGATTTCAAATGAGGAAATGGTTAGCCACTCCCTCATTGCCTGCAATCTCTGACTCATTTACCCAATTTTAGTTTTCCTTCCTTTTCTTGTAATAGTCTACAATGTGGTCTAGCTCTTAGTTGGCTTAATCAGTCAGAACTTTATCAATTAATTCTGTCCTTAACCTCAACTATTCAACAAACAGGTTGGGCACAATGTGTCTGTCAGTCCTGTGTAAAGTAGAGATGAAAAGACACCTGCTTCAGAGGATACAGCGTAGGAGGAGAAAGGGGTGGCACATAAAAGATCCCAACACAGGGGCTGGGGTTGTGGCTCAGAGGTAGAGCGCTTGCCTGGCACGCATGGGGCACTGGGTTCAATCCTCAGCACCACATAAAAATAAAAGGTATTGTGTCCATCTATAACTAAAATAAATAAATATTTTTTTTAAAAAAAGAAAGATTACAACACAGAGTGAGGCAGGAGGGAATAACTGTAGGAGGAAACCCAAAGATCTCATGAAGAGGGGAGACCTAGGCAAAGGCTGAGAACTGGGACCAGGCAGGAAGCACCGAGGTCTGATGCCTACCAGGCCAGGTTCTTGAGGTAGAGACCAGACACCCCATCTAGAAAGAACAGTCCCACTCATCCCCAGCAGATGACACCCCTATAGAGAGATGGGTCCAAAAGTACCAGACTTCTAATTTTTCTCAAAAGTTGAAAAAAATGCTAAGCTTTGGTACAATCCCTCATTTTGGAAAGTTAACTAATTTGAATTTTAAATAGTCTACAGTGGGTTTCTGAAACAGCTAAAGATAGAATTACCATATGACACAGCAAATCCAATCCTAGGTGTGTTCCCCCAAAGAACTGAAAGCAGGAACTCAGACAGATAGTTGTATGCCACTAGAGCATGATTCACAAGGTGAACAGGTGAAATAACTAACATTGTCCATTAACAGACAGAGGTGGGTATATTCATACAACGGAATGTCCGTCATCTATTCAGCTACAAGGTGGATGAACTTGGAACACATCATATTAAGAGAAATATGGTATAAATGTTGTATGATTACACTTACATGAAATATGTTGAATGGTGAAGTTAATGGAGATAGAAAGTAGATCAGAAGTCATCAGGGGGTGGGACAGGGAACTGGAGCCCTGAGGAGTTATTCTTTATGGTACAGAGTTTCTGTCTGGGGGATGAAGACGCTTGGAAATAGTGGTGATGGTTGCACAACTTGTTAATGTAAGTTTTACCACTGAATTGTATGTTTCATAATGGTTAAAATGGCAAATTTTATGTTCTATATATTTAACTACCAAAAAAGGAAAAAAAAAAAAAAACTCTAGAGTGGCTCAGCAAATATATTAGGGGTTGCGGTGGGCTAGCAGCTCAGAACTTGAGCTCAGAGAGATTAACACCCAAGGCCTAGTCTACACTGAGCTCCTTAATATGCAAGGGCAAGGACTCGGCAGAACGCAGAGCCCATCACTGCAGATCGAGAAGGGCTGGGGAGGTGGAGAACATTTAAAAGACATATTCCTGATGCTCAAATAGATTAAAGGCTAGAAATAGACCTGGCAGGAGTTAAGAGAACGAAGTGATTTCTGGAGTTTCCAAAAATGTGCTTTGAGAGATGCAGGGAGAAGGTCGCTCATAGTTGTGCAGATCACTAGAAGGTTCCTGAAGGAGAAGGAAATTACAGTGCGCATTGGAGGACAGGTGAGCAGGCAAGGGCGCTCCAGAGAAGAAATGGCAAGAGCCCCGGCCCGTGGGAAGAAGGACAGAAGGTATACCTGGGCATGGAGTCAGACTCAGGTGGCCTGGGACAGAATCCAGGCAGGGAGGTAGCTAACCAGGTAGGAGGGGACCCCAGGACAAGGTGACCATAACTGCCAAATTAAATTTGAGCAGAACAATGAGTTCTCAAAACTGTCCCCGAGAATGATTAGCCAGGCATGGGGACATAAAACGGCTGGAGGACAGACGGGAGACCTGCCAGGAGATTGGTGCAGAGCTGGGGGCAGCCAGGAAGGTTGGCCCTGCGCAGTGGCCAGAGTGGGTGCGAAGGGAGGGGACGGGGGGGGGGGGGGGGGGGGGGGGGGGGGGGGTGCTCTCTCTAGAGGAGTCCTGTCATGCGTAGAAGCCGAGGGCTGCGATGGGGACAAGGAAGTCAGCCCAGGCCAAGGCCCGTCGTGGTTGAGATGAAGAGAGGGGGCTGCAGGTTGAGTTCTGGGGTGGGGGGCGTTTGTTGGGGACTTTATTTGATTTGTAGTTTTTGTCTGTTCTTGAAGTTAGGGGAGGTTGGAGGGGCAGAGGGCATGAGTGGGGAGTAGCAGAGACGGAGGTGGGCGAGAAAGCGCGAGGGGATGGAGCGCAGGTTCCAGGCGCGGGCCAGCGCACAGCAGCGCCCCCCGAGGGTGGGAGAGCAGAGCTTCAGAGCAGAGGAAGGAAGGGGCCTCCTCCTCGCGCTAAGATAATGAACCAAGTCATCCCTGGGAGTGGAGGGGCCCGGAGTGACTCTGATGGTGCCACAATGGCAGGTCCACTGCAGAACGTGACTCTGGGAACTGATGGAACGCAAGGGCTGCAGCGCGCATGCGCAGGACCAGCCGGCCAGGAAGCCTAGTGCTCAGGGGCGGCTTAGGGTGATGGTGGCCTTCCAGGCGGGCTCGCCCTCCGCGACATAGAGCCCAGGGTGAGGGCCTCGGAGTCCCAGGAGGCACAGCTTTGTAGTCTTTATTTTCTTGTCTGTTTGGGTTCAAAGTCTTTTTCCCCCCAAAATGTGCTTTTTTTTCCCATTGATAAATAATAACATATCTATTTATATACAGCATGATGTGAAGCTTTAATATATGTATAATTATGGAATGATTACACCAAGCTAATTAACAAACCCATCGCCTCAAGTACTTATTTTTTGTGGTGACAGTATGAAAATGTACTCTTACCGGTTTGGAATTGTTGGTTATTGTTGAAGGAAGGCTCATCTGCCATGGTCAGCCTAGGGTTTTCTGGACTCTGCAGAGAAATGAAAGAAGACAGTCCGGGAGTGACCAGGAGAATTGGAGCTCTGGGATCTGCAGGTCACAATGAGTGGAGGGGTGGGATAGCAAGGCAAAAGGGAGGTGGTCCCAGGTGGGAACAGTGACAACTCCTTAGGCCCCACACAGTCAGAGGTGTAGCCCCAGTGTTTGTGTGGGATAGACTCTCTATGTCTGGGGTCAGTCAGACCAAGTGCCCTGGCCATCAGTTAGTGATGCCGCCAGCAGCAAAGAGAGGAGAGGGAAGACATGGCCACAGCCTGTCAGCCCGCGTGAAGAGTGGTCAGAGAGATTCTGGGCTGAAAAGTTTGGAGGAGGGACAGCCCCATGTGCCTATTAAGTCCAGTGAGCCCAGTTGCCCCTGTGGGTGACAGAAGTGTCCTGCAACCGGAGGCCTAGACAATTGGAGGGTGGGATGTTCGGACGGTCAGTAACAGGGATGTTCAAACCTTTGCAGGGCAGCGAAGAGGACTGAGACCAACAGTGCTGGACTCATGACCTGAGGAGAGCTGCCTAGAAGTCCACCCAGGGACAAGACCATTCCGGAACTGCCAGAAAAGAGGCTCATGAACAATCGAGCTCTTTCCAACCCTAACTCTTCGGTCCCCGGGCGGGACCTAGGCCTTCTCTCTGTGTCTTCAGACCCAGTGAAGAGCCAATGAGGAAGCACTTCTAGGGAGCAGGGATGGACTGTAAGGAAAGGAAACAAGGGTGGGGATGTGCCCCATGGCAGAGGGCTTGCCTGGCATGTGCCCAGCCCGGGCTCCACCCCCAGCACTACAGAGGACAGAGAGACAGAGAGAAATGGGGGAACCGACAGGTCAGCAGCAAGTCAGGTGGCTGCCAGCAGGAGGGGGCTGGAGAGGTGAGAGCAGCGCCACAGGAGCTGAATCCTTGCTATCACAGAGAGGGGCCTGCTCCTAGGATTTAGGATGTTTCCAGATGATAGATCCACAGTTCCAGGGAACAGCGTGTGGATAATCTGATGAAACCCACATCTACTTTAACAAAGCAACTCAGACACAGGTCCTGTTGGTGGTGGATTGGTTTCATCTCTCAAATGAAAGAGGTTTACTAAAGAAAGAGAGTGTGATAGAAATCAGACACAGATCAGGGGTCCAGTCCCAACTGTGCTAGCCAAGTCTGTGCCCTTTTGAAAAAAATGCTGAATGGTAGCCTCGCTGTGCCTCAGTGTCCTCATTGGACAATGGGCCTAACTCTTTGTCCCACCCATTTCATGGGATTGCTCTGATAAGAAAAACAGGTGCTATTTCAAAACATTTCACATTTCAGTGCCCCAAGTCATCCCTCTGCAGTGAATTGTCTGTAGCCCTCCCCTGTGCTTTAAGTTGTTGTATAACATGTTTGAAGTAAGTGGGTCGACCATCTATGGGGGTTTGGAATTAGCTATTATCTGGAGACGAGGATGTATATATCACAAATTTTGATTCCGGTACAAAAGTGCAGGATTATTCGCATCCAGCCTCCTGTTTCTCTCCCCAGGCAGGGTAGTATCTACATGGTACCAGGTCTTCCTCTTGTGTTGCTCTTTTTAGAAACAAATGCATTCAGATGTTTTGTTACTAAAGCTGCCTTCTCCTTGGAACACACACGTCTTGCAGCAAGGAGGACCAGGAAAAGGAGACCCTCAGAAGCCGTATGAGATCATCCTCCCCTAATGATGGACAGTTAGCTCCCCCATGGACAGACAGAGCTGTGTCATTGGAGACAAGTCCCCAAATCTGCATACAAAGTGTCCAGGAACAATGCTGGTACTGAAAGACACACACAGAGGTGGAAGGCAGAGAGGTTCCTCTGTGAGGGAGGAACAGGGACACGTCACAATTTTAACTTGAGTGGATCCAAGGAAGTCAGCTTTGTGAAAGTGGCAAAAAAGGAGAAATGACTTGCTACAAAAGTAAAGTAGGACACGCAGCGGGAGCACTGATCAGAGAGTGAGGGGGCCCAGCTGAAGGAGACGTCAGGTCTGTGACCTGTCTCGGGTCGACCAGATGACGAATGATCCATTTTTAAGCATAACATGTGTGAACTGAAGTTCCTCCAGAGGCCTCATTTGTATTTAAGAGCTTCTGGATTGTTTAAACTCCACTGATTGGAGCATTGTGACCTGGTAGAGAGATGAAGTGTTGTAAATTAAGAAGCCTAACTTGTATTAAACTATTCTGGGCCCCATTGACAGCCATTTATCCTTGACCTCTGCGTCTGACTTAGCATTTTCTTTTCTCGGATAAAATCTTAAAATGTATATGAGGCTGATGGACCTCTGGCCTCTATTAAATCTGAAGCCTGGGAATGAGACAGCACTTGAATCCTATAGGAAATTCCCTGCTTTATTGAAAGCAACATTTGAATCTTGTGGAAGATTTCCCCACCTCTTTGTAGCCGCCTACCTGACACCCCTCCAGGACTCTTGGAGGACTGTAAGAGGCTTATGTAATCTCTTCACAGGAGAGCCATGTCCTTGGGAAAGCACGTCCTTCAGGAGTTCCCGTTAACTGGAGTTTGTGTTCCGGGAGATGGAGTTTGTGTTCTTGAGGATGGTCATTCATGTTGGCTCAGAAGAACCATTTTCTTATTTCCTCAAAGCAGAGCTGTTGTTTTCTTTTGGCACTTGGCACTGAGATTATTATTATTATTTATGGTCCTGGGGATTGAACCCAGAGGTGCTCTACCACTGGACTATATCTCCAGTCTGCTTATTTGTTTCTTTGTTTGTAGACAGGGACTCACTAAATTGCCCATATGGGCCTTAAACTTGACAATCCTCCTGCCTCGTCTTCCAAGTAGCTAGGATTACAGGCACGTGCCACCAGGTCAGACTGGGATGATTTTTAAACTAGTGATTGCAGGTGAAAGCGAGACAAATGTAGTGAACGTAGAGCCTAGATCCACATAGAGACTCAGTTTGAAAGCAATGGCGAACCCTCTCCAATCATGGCTAGTGACAGACCAGGTCCACCCATGAGATAGGGAGGCACCTGGCTGAGAAGTTATCCAAGGAGAAAAATCCAACAGCTATGATATCATTCATAAATACAATTCTGACAGAGCAAGAGAAAAAAGAAAAGAATGGGAAAAAGAAGAACTGACTGCAGATTAGGGAGGTCAGCAGAGGGGCACTGCTTAGCCCAAAAGGGCTGGGCAGGCCCCACATGTAAATGGTGAGGCTTCCCTCTCTCCAAGTGGACCTAGGGCATCATGCAGAGTAGAGAGAATGCCCTTCCAGAAAGAAGACACGGGGGCTGGGGCTGTAGCTCAGTGGTAGAGCACTTGCTTGGCACGTGTGGGGCACTGGGTTCAATTCTCAGAACCACATATAAATAAATAAAAATAAAGGTCCAACAGCAACTAGAAAAAATATTGAAAAAGAAAGAAAGAAAGAAGGTACGAAGAGCCAAGTGTGGTGGCACAGGTCTGTCATCCCAGTGACTCGGGAGGCAGGAGGATCGCAAGTTCCAGGCCAGCCTCGACATCTGAGTGAGGCCCTAAACAACTTAGGGAGACCCTGTCTTAAAAATGAAAAGTACTGGAGACGGAGCTCAGTGGTAAACCACCCCTGGGTTCAATCCCCAGTACCAAAAACAAACAAAGCCGGGAAGGCTTAGCTCTGGCACGGAACAGGCCCCTCCTCCCTGACAAGCTCTGGCATCATGGGCCTCCCCTCTGCTGCGCAGGGAGAGCAGGGAGAGCCCAGGGAAGGCAGGGAACTTAAGTCACGGGAGGAAGCTGCAGGAGCCCTGACTCAGCGGTCCTCAGCCGTGGGATCACGGTGGGCAGGCCTGCGGGAGATGAGTCACTGAGCGCTGTGAATGCTATTCTGAGCTCTGCCAAGGACACGGATGCTCTTGTTGGCACCCTGGCACCCTTCACAGTTCCTCTCCTTCCCCATCTGGCTGCCAAGAGACAAGTGTTGTAGGAACAGAGGATTTGGGTGTTTTTAGCCTAAGACTATCTCACTTTCTGTTCTTCCTGCTTCCTTCTCAGTTCCTGGAAGTCACTGATGAGGAACTGGGACTGAGAGCCACCTCTTTCTCAGCCTCCCAAGGCAGCCTGGGGGACAAGCCATTCCAGGGCAGGGCAGGGCAAAGCAGGGCAGGGCAGACCTGGTGAGACTTACCAAATGAATCACCTGGCCAACTTACTGGACTAAAAGGACCCAAGAAGTACATAAGCTTAAGTGCCAGATGCTGTAAGGAAGAATCAGGCTGCGACTCAGCTCTGCTGGAGCATTGGGTCAACAACTCCATCTGTCTGGCTCCTGTACAGTCCATGATGACAAGCCACGGGAGCCATAGAGAGTGCTGCAGAATAAGAATGAGCCTGAGCAACGTCCTCACACTCTGCATACGCTGTGGTGTGCTGGGCCACCTGTCTTGCCATCTCCGCACACGTTCACTCTCTTCCAAGACTCATTGCTGCTTAAGAGCAACTCAGACATCACATCCCAAGTTGCTCTGATCTTCCCAGAAGCCTGGTTTCTGTACCTGTCACTGTCCTAGTCACACCCCCAACAAGCACCGATCACACGCAATGTTTAACCCGGAGGACAGTCTCCCTCCTTCTATTAGGAGCAGTTTGGGAGAAGGGACTTTCTTTAATATACACTAACAATTCCTAGTAGAATTAATGAACCCATCAAGTCTGATTCTGAGGTTCACCTTCTTTCTACTCTATATAGTCAAAAAATAGTGCAGATGACAAGATGGCAAGAAGTCATCCTCGAAAAACTCCCAGCTAACATCCTCCCTAACTGCAGGAGACTGGATGCTTTCTTCCTAGGATCAGAAACAAGACAAGGGGTCGGCTCTTAGCACTTCCATACAACAACTGGAGGCTCTAACCAGGGACATTGGGTAAGAAGTAGAAATAAAAGGCTCCCAGATTGGCACTTCTGTCTTCCCAGATGATGTGATCTTTATACAGAAAACCTTAAGTAAACCACCCAGAAATGATTATGTCAAACAAGTTCGATGGGTCACAGGCTATAAAATCAACACCCAAAACTCAGTTGCATGCTTCTATATTCTAGCATTGAGCAATTAAAAATAAAATAATTCCATTTACAGGAAAGCAAAAGGAAAAAATAGGAATGAATCCAATGAAAGAATTAACAAGACTTGTTCACTTAAAACTATGAAACATTGTGGGAAAAAAGTAAAGACCTAAATAAAGAAAAATACACCCTAGTTCATGATTAGAAGGTTTAATATTGTTAAGATGGTAATATTCCCCAAATTGATCTACAAACTTGACACAATCCCTATCAAAATCAACTGCAGAACTTGAAGCCAATTATAAAGTTCACATGAAAATTCAAGGGACTCAAGCCGGGTGTGGTGGGGCATGCCTATAATCCCGGCGAATTAGGAGGCTGAGGCAGGAGGATCACAAGTTTAAAGCCAGCCTCAGCAACTTAACGAGGCTCTAAGCAATTCAGTGAAACCCTGTCTCTAAATAAAATACAAAATAGGTCTGGGGATGTGGCTTAGTGGTAACGTGCCCTTGAGTTCAATTCCAAGTACCAAAAAAAAAAAAAAAAAAAGGAAAATTCAAGGGATTCAAAATCACCAAAGCAATTTTGAACAAAGCTGGGGGACTCACACTTCCTGATTTCAAAACTAACTACAAAGCTTTGTCTCAATTGTAGCAGGATGTTTGTTTATGGAGAGGG